AAGTTTTTCTGAGGTTTCTCAGTTCCAAGTCATAACACACACACCAGAGCTGTTGCACCTTTGCCCAGGGCTCTTCTTGAAGTACTTTGCAGATTGATGAGGCAGAGGTCACTGGGGCTGTGGTTGGGGTTTGTCTGCTCCTTGCCTACCTTCCTACAAGTAATTCTTCCAGTGGGGCTGTTGTGCATATGAAAGGTCAGGCTTAAAGGCTCTGTCTGCTCTCAGGCTGCACAGGACAAGCACTGGCTTCTTGGCAGCCTGGGTCAGGCAGCTCTGCTCTTTAAAATAAAAAGTGTGGCAAGCAATAAGGCATTTAAATTATGTTGAAATGATAGAACTTGCAGACACAAAAAGCTAAAAGATGCAAAATACCTCCCAAACCTAGATAAGACAGATTACACTTGCTCAGGGTGAAAAATCTCTTCATGGATGCTGCATTCCTGCAGCCCCAAGTGTGCTCACTCTTGTACATGGTGCAGTGCCAGGCCAGGACTTGAGCTTCTGGATTTGCCCATATATTCCATGCATGACTTTGGGCAGCACTCTCAAATATTTCTGTGCCTTTTTTTTTTTTTTTGTTTTTCTTTAACCCATGTGCAATTCAGGATGAACACCTTTCTGTCTTCACGGTAATTAATGAACTGCAAAGCCCTTAGAGATCTCCAGAAGGAAAGTGCTGGCCAATGGAGGCTGTGATTGCTGTGGGAGGGAGATGTAAGCCCTGTCCAGCCCAGGACACAGCTGGGACCCCCAGATAGTGGGGTTTCAGGCAGGGTGTTGAAGGCTACTTGGGTGAAACTTTCTGTGGGTCTGGGACCTTAATCAGCATTTAAACACTGTACAAACACCCTGGGCAGATAAGCAAATGCACGTGAAACCCGCTGGGCAAGCTGTTGATGAAGGAAAGCAAGTGCAGAGAGAGCAGGAGCGGCACTGGCGAGGGCGGCTGCGGTCCTTGGCATGGTGTGTGCTCCCCGTGATAGAGCCTGGCTCTCCTGTGCTAAGTGAGTGCTACTGGCTCCATCCTGTTCTGCTGCCCAGATACGCTTCAGGGCTCTTCAAAGGGATAAAAATATATTTTTAACCTGAGGCAGCTGCCTTTTTTTGTGTGGTACATTTTTTTCTCATAGCTCTGGAAGTGACAGGTTGTTTTTCAGCCCCTCTGTTTCTCAGCTGTCTCGGCAAAGGTGCCTAGAGGTCTCAAACCAGATTCCCGAAAATTTTAGCACTGGAAATTGGTAGTTGCTTTTGAGAATGTTGGCGAGACGGTGCAGCTCTCTACAGACGTCAACTGATGGCCATTTGAACAGGCTTTTTCCTCAGCCAAGTCCTCGCCCCATTGAAGCAAATGGGAATTTTCCTTGAAAAAGGCCATAAAGAAATCGTTTTCTTGGCAAGTAAAGAGGTGTTTCATGGACTCTGCATCAGCATTCAGGAGAACTTCAGCTATCTGCTTAGATTCCTGCCACATTTGTCCCACCCTGCACAAAGCTCTCTACCTTTTGATCTGAAATAACACAGGAGATGTTTTCCACATGCCATAAGAAAGAACTATAAAACAATTGTTTTGGAGTTTGGCACCACTCCCTTACAGATATATTTAGTGTGAATTGAAATTGGTCAGCAAAAGGGCGTTGGTCAGGATGACAGACAGATTAGGGCTCTGTGTCTTGAGGCTATTACATACCTGCCCATCCCATGCTAGTAGGGGCAGTAGGTGCCTTCATTAGTTCATGGATTGTAATAAACAAGCATGACTTGCAGCTTTTGGGTAACATTAAAAAACTTTATCTGGTTGTAAGAGGGGTTATTTAGCTTGTGTCATGCTCTGTGCTGTCTTGACCTCGAGTCTTTATCTCCACTCTTCTTGTTGCTCCCCAGCCCTTTTGCTCTTTCAAATGTGGTCCATCACACCTGATGCTCAGCCCACTCCTGTGCATGCAGCTTGTCCTGAAAGAAATGCTAGTGCTCTGCACATGGGGCCAAACTCTTCTGTCTCATCTCCCTTCTCCTGTGATGAAGCCACCTCTGGAAGCTCCAAGTCAGGATAGTTTCTCTTAAGAGCAGCACAGTTTTGGGAGAGGGAAAAGCTGCGATGGGGCTCTGCCATCAGCCCCAGGTGGACCAATCCAGCTTGGCAGCAGGGTCAAAGGCATGGCTCACCGTAGCTGACTTGGCCTTAGAGAGGAGAGCTTACAGTCAATAGCAGCTAGACCTTCCTGGCTGCTGATCCAGTCTTGCTCCTGTGATGGTGTCTTGGGAGCCAAGACCAATTTCTCCTGTCCCTGGGTGTGTTCACGCACATTGACTTGCACACTCCACTCCCATCAGTGGTTTTCTTTGGGCTGATACTTGTTAGCATTGGAAAGTGAGAAAAATGAACAAAAATATTATCAGAAGCAGGTTTTGTGAATGAATCAGCCGACAAGAGGCTTACCAGCTCGCCTGCATTTACTAGCACAGTGCTTATTTGGGCAGATGTCTATATATTTTAGTTGGAGGCAGGAAGGAGTGAGAATGGATGGGGGAAGACATCACTTCCAGTTTGCTGCTTTTCTGTTAGTTTGTACCATCTTTTTCTGAATGAAGCAGAGGACTGCAGTGTGTTTGAGAATCTGCCCTGCTGCTGCCCTTGTTCTGCTGTTGTTGACAAGGTGGGGGGAGCACCAAGGAGAGGAGCACAAAAGAGGTCAAAAGGCTAAAACTTTCCTAAGCCAGCCTTGCCTCTCCAACCTTGCCCATCTCTTCATGGTGCTTTTTTAGTTGATTCTCTCTAAAGGCGGCCTCATGGCCTTCTCTCTTCTCACTATGTGTTTCTAATTAATGGGGAGACTGGTGTATAAACAGAATATTCCTGCTCAAAATATTGCTTGTCTGACTCCTAGGATGATGGCCAGATGGCAATCACCAGACAGCAGCCTAGACTTTGAGCTTGCCCATCTGGCTATCAAACCTGGTCTCAATTCTCATCTGGAACCAGAACTGAGGAAAGTAATGGGCTTTGCCAGATTGGTTTTGCCCCATGTTTGCTTTTCAGTTGCTACCTAAGCAGCTAAAAACCTGCAGACCAAATGCATTTAGTATTTCTGGAAATCATGAAGAAGTTCAAAAAGATACTGGACAAATCCACTGAGGGCTGAGTCTTTTGGTGACTTTTCAATCCTGTGGATCAGATGCAGTCTTCAGCCATAAAAGTGCTCTTACTGCTGGTCTGCAGCACAGACTGGGAATGGTCCTTCTGCTCCCAAACAGCTGCTGATGGTCTCTCATGAATGGCAGGCTGGGCTGGATGGCTCCTTGATCCAGCCCACCTGGGCCATCCTGTCATCAGGCAGCTGCATGTTTGCTGAGTGAATTCAGATGAAACTCTTCTTGCAGTTTCTTCTTTGTGAGCTTGGGGTTGTAATACCTGAAAAGAGCTTAGAAAGCTGTGGTAGAAATAAAACACTTTCTATTATAATTTTTCACTCTGTCATGACAGTAGGGCTATGCTGACAGTAGGGCTAAACAACATCATGCAGATTCTGAAAAAAGGAACTGTTAACATCTGTAAATGCTCTGTATGCTTGGTGCTCTGAGAAGCAGGAGAGATCTATAAATTAAGCACTGTTATGTGAGCTAAAGCATTGCTTGCCCTGCATCATGCACAGTTTGATATGATTTCTTTACATCTAGATTAAGTGCCTGAGTTCCATAATGCTGGAAAGCTGAAATTGGAGGGGCCAGAGAGAGTTCTGATGCTGGGAATTTGGGTGCTACAGTTCTTCCTTGGCAATACTGAAAGACACTTCCTATTTGTCACCATCACCAGAACAGCCTGGTCTGTCCCCTGCTATAGTACCTATGGAGCTGCTGGAGAGATTTTGTGTACAGAGATACATGCAGAGACATAAAAAGCCTGGCCTGGGTTATTGCACTGGGAAGTGATGTGCATATGTGGGTTCAATCCTAATTTGGGCTGGAAGGGACCTCTGGAGGTCTTGCTTCAAGTCCCAGCTTAATTCAGGCTCAGCTTCAATATTATATTTAACTATAGTGTTAGATTGTGCTTTCTCAGCCAGATCAGAGCAGGCAAAAAGGAGTGATTAGCTGTCACCTCCTAGGTGTTTGAAGCAAACAGGAGGAATTGAGATCTCTCCTCGTTGCCACTGCAAAGTCCAAAGAGTCTGGTGGCTGCAGCATTGTGACCATCATGTCCTGATGTGGCAAGGTTTGCTCTCACAAATTCCTGGTGAATTGGGAAAATGCATAAAGCACAGAGCAGAGGAGATGGAAAAAGTCCAGAAATCCCCAGATTTCCCATTTCCCAGATTGAAATGGCTGAACTAGCTGGGATCTTGTGGTGTTCAGCAGTGGCAGAGTTGTGACTGTTCCACTGTCAGCAAATGCAGCAGTAGGTAGAAGCTAAATGAGCAACACAGTATATGAGAGACAATGGGAAAGATGGTATGGCAAGGATGTTGATCTCTGAAATGGCAGGATCTCCAGAGGATGTTAGGGTGGCCACATGGCCTCGGTACAGAGGTGAGGTATTTTTGAAAGCAGAGCTGAGAATTTATTTTAGCACATGAATGTTGAGTAAGTATTCCTGGAGATACTCTGGGGGATGACAGATGGACTCAAGGTATTGTTACTAATCACTGTGGTTTTAAGTGTTGGAGCTGAAGTACACTTGGCATCTCTAATCCAACTGGACTTCTGATGGGAAAATTGCATTCTTGGGAAGTAATTTAGAAGGTCACAGAAAAGCCAGAAAGAACTTCTCCAGCAGCGATTTCCCCTGCTCTCTAAACTGTCTTTTAGAGTGGTAATAACTCCAGAATGAAAGAATCTATTCTCACCTTCCAGATGAAAGGGATAATGCAATTTAAAATTTTTGCATGCAAAGATTTTATGGCTTGGTAACCAGCCACGTCTGAAAATGATCCAGGGCAGGATGAACATGTGAGGCAGCGCCTGACTGAGCTGGACACTTTCCTTGTCTGCCCCGTCTCCTGCAGATAATGGTGATGACCGCTCTGAGAGCATTCTCGCTGAGAACCATGTGGATGGCACCATGGGGATCCTGAGTGGAGCTGGAGGGAGGAAGCCCATGAAGACGGGCATGAAGGAGCTGGCAGTGATGAGGGAGAAGGTGAACGAGCAGCAGCGGCAGATGGGCAAAGTCAGCAAGGCCCATCACAACCACGAGGACTCCAAAAAGTCACGGCTGTCGACGGGCAGGGTGAGAGGGCAGGGCTGTGGGGAGCTAAGGGGGGCGGCTGTGGGCTCACTGGGAAATGCTGAATGCAAATCCTAAGTGAAATCTGCAATAAACTGTCTTAAAAACAGAAAAAATTAATTGAAGGAAAAAAGTGGGGAGAAGCAAACATTTTTGGCCTGATGCTGGGGCTGAATACACCATCTGATGAACTTCGATATGCTGGTCAGGAGGCATTATTTTCATTGCAGGTTCACCTCTGGAAGGGGGGCTTCTGCTGGCTCAACACTCACCTCTGCAGGAGTACAGGCATGCCTTTTGCCCATGGACTGGCTTTCTCACACCTTTTTTTCCTAATCAGGCATGGCCAAAGGGGATTTGAGGGGCCAGAAGCAGGGCTATCTGCCTGCTGCAGGGCAGCCCCAGTTCAGGTTAAAGGAGGCCACAAGCCCCGAGGATGACCTGTGTGGCTGTCCCGTAGCAGGGAGGGTGCTCTAAGACCTCCCAGTCTACTTGCCTGTCCCTGTCTGTTATCCAGTTCTTGGCCGTGGCTTCCCTCTAGTGGGAAGCTTGATCAAGGCAACTAGATGGGATGGGAATGGGGATGGAGATTGAAACCCACCCCAAAGGATCCACGATATAAATCCCTGTAAACATACAGAATATTAATATGTGGGGAGCACAGGGACAGAAAGGAGCTTTAAAAGAGTCCTCATGCCTTCCAAAGACTTGGCAAAACAGAAGTTCAAAATAAAAAGCAGGCACCATCAGCTTTGAAAGCTCACACACTACTGCTGCTTCTTTGCAAAAAAAACCCCTCACCCACTGCAAAAGCAGAAAGGTGTGGACTTAGTTTGCCTCACATCAGAAATATTTCAACCACACTGCCTTGGGTGGAAGCCCTGTCTGGGAGCTGTGGAGCAAGCAGGATGCCTCCAGAGGCTGGCTTGGGGTACTCCCATTCCCAGGTCTTCCTCTCCACTCTCATGGAGTCTCACATGCTTTTGAGTTGTACTTCTGGGCCAAAACTGCATCACAGGTGTGTGCTCTGGGCTATGCTTATGGAAACCCTCCTGATCTGTCCAGACTAGCCCTGCTTCATGTCACTTGCCACCACCAGTGGGAGCCATGGTAGCCTCTCTGAGGTTTCTCCTCTGTATCCACGACTTGGGACCTGGTATTATGTTGGCTCTTGGCCATGTCAGGTACATGGGAGACTTGCATGTCTATGCACAACTCTGATTTTGGATGCCTGGAGGTGAACTCTGGAGCAGGACCTAGGGGCAAACCTGTGTATTTAGGGATGCACATATGTTCATCCCTACTGGTGTTACCATTGTCCACAGTGTTGATGCTGAATGGTACCATTGTCCTGATAATACATTTTTTTTTTCTGTTTTCTGGGCTGTTTTCAGACCCCTTGTCAGCAGGAGCTGGATCAGGTCCTGGAACGCATCTCCACCATGCGGCTGCCAGATGAGCGAGGGCCCCTGGAGCACCTCTACTCCCTTCACATCCCCAACTGTGACAAGCATGGCTTGTACAATCTCAAACAGGTAAGAGGGGAGAGTGAGGGCTCTGGGGCTGTCTGTGCTTCCAGCAGCAGCCCTTGGCTCACTGTCTGCCCCACCATGTGCAGACACAGAACATGCATAGTTCAGGGCTGGGCTGATACCCTGTGCGTGATATGAGGTGTGGGGTAAATAGAAAACGCTGCACATGGCATGGACAGGTTTACTTACACCCCTGTACATCTGCAGCCACTAGTTTGCAAGTGGAGATGAAATCCACATCCACACATGACTCTGGGCAATCCAGAGATGGAGAATCAGTTTAGTTTTCCCCACAAGAGCTGCTTATCTGTCCAGGTCTATTTTCTTGAACTTTGAGCCACATCTTGTTCTGTCTGGGCCTTGCTGCAGGAGAAAAGCAGAGAGGGACTGAATACTGACCAGTCTTGCAGACAAACCAGAAGGCACTTCTGGGAGTCAGGAGGGTTTCTAGTGTACTGGTTTTCCTCCACAAGTCAAGGCTGGTCCCTCAGCTCCAGGAGGGATTCCTTCCAGGCAGGGTGAGGGTTGGAGTGCAGCACGCTTCTGAAGGTATTTATGGGACCCACAAGAACTGAGAAAGCTTGTGTGTCTGAATTCTGACTTTCTGGTTTCATTCATGCAAAACCACCAGGTGTCAGTGGCTGAGGAACAGGAAGAAACTGATGGGAAAACCAAGCAGGAACAACAGCTGGTGCATGGTTGACTGAAGTTATCTATGAATAGTACCTGGATATGAGGATTCCTTATAGCTGAGCCTTTGGAGGGGACCCATGCTGTTTTCATGGCTAGGCCTTTTACTCAGGGCTACTTCTACCCCTTCATCAGAATTTTAATTTAATTAAATTAAAAAAAAAAAAAAAACAAAACAGTCTTGCAGGTGAGAAGAATCTTATACAGCTCCTCTGTCAGTCTGTATCATCCCTCTTTCCCAAGGTATCTTTGTCTCTTTGGATGCTTTCATCCACAGTTGGCAAAGGGTGATGCATTTCAGGAACACTTGTCCTTCTGGTTCATTAGAATTGGCTTCTAGGTCCCTGGCACAGCCCCTGGGGAAAGAGGTTCAGCCCTCACCCTGGACTGCTGGAGTAACACTGCTGGTGCAGCACAGGCCCTGGGGGGTTTGAGTACAGCATCCCGTGGATTTTGCCTGAATCTAAACTAGTGCCAGATCACCAGAGAAACGCCAGCTCTGCCAGTGCTAGAGCTTTGGACTGGTGACCTGGGAAGTGGTTTGTTGTGTCCTTCTCTTGACTCTGACACGTGTCCTGTCCCTCTCCATGCAGTGCAAGATGTCGGTGAATGGGCAGCGTGGCGAGTGCTGGTGCGTGGACCCCATCCATGGGAAGGTGATCCAGGGTGCACCCACCATCCGTGGGGACCCCGAGTGCCACCTCTTCTACACAGCCCATGAGCAGGAGGACCGGGGAGCGCACGCCCTGCGGAGCCAGTAGACAGATGTGATCTTGCTGGCTGGAGGTGGCTCACTGTGGGCCCAGTGCTGGATTTTAAATGGGTTTCAGCGTGTCTCTTTAGGCTCTGGAAGAGACTGGGTGCTGCCCTCCTTCCTCAGCTGCCTGGTTCCTGGGGAGGGGAGGGATAAGGGGAGGGGAAGTTGGTGGGGGGTTTGCAAGAAGGGACTGCTTTCTTAGTCTTTCACCCAACATAAACCAGAGAACTGGTCTTTTTTGCTCCTCGCCCTGCAGCCCTGCCCTCCCTGCTGCTTTGTGGCATCTTTCTGCACCCTCCAGCACAGAGTGCCATGTGCTCCCTGACCCCTCCCTGGGGAAAAAACCCCTTGCTATGAGTGGGAGAGGGTAAAAAACGAAAGAGCCCAGCCTTTTCCCCTCTTTTTCTCTCTTCCCCAAGACCAAAGACTGTAAATACTGTCACCTGCCTCTTGTGTCCTGCCAGTCAGTCTCTTGTGCCCCAGCCCAGCCAACAGTCCTGGCATGGGATGTGGTGTGGGAGGGAGGAAAGGAAGAAAGACCCTGGATTCCCAGCTTGAACATATCACCATAGTTGGGATGTGTTACCCAAGGAAGCAGCAGTGAGGGAAAGGGCTGAAGATGAGACAAGTGCCACCTTGTCCCCTAACAACACTCTTGGGTGCTTCCTTTGCTTGTGCTGGGGCACAGACAACTCCACAGGGGCCCAGCTTCAGCCACTGGTGTGGGAGCACGGGGCCTTTGGGTGATAGCAAAGCTAAATGCTTGTTTTTCCAAGGGATTTGAAGGGCTTTTGCACAGTATTTCTTAGGATCAGCTTATGCCGAGGGAGCTAAAATGAACTTGCCGAGGCTGGGTGGAAGGATGCGTTTGTAGATTTAGGATAACAAGCCAGGGAATGTCTCTCTTTCTGTCATTCATTTTTTCTTTATTTCTAGATAGGAAAAAACAAAACATCTAAAACCTGCGTTCCCAAGCAGCTGCCCTTCTCCCTCCAGTTTTGTTTGGGACTGAAGTGAGCATCTGTTATTCAGCACATAACTTTTTCTTTTTGTAAGTAAATTACAATATATATCTTGCTTTGTAAAGACCCTCACTCACACACACACATACAAACACACACAGACACACACACACACACATTTGTATAGATGAAATCAAAGTGATTCCAGGTGCTCTGAAAGGTTTTGTGCTGGACATACTGGGGATACTGGGGAGAGATGTGTCTCTGCTGTTAATTCACCTGTTGATTTCTTTCTGTACAGAACACACTGATGCTGAGAATAAATAACTTCCCTATTGCCTAAGCAAGGAGATTTTTATTATTTTCTTCCTTTTTTTCTTTTTTTCTTTTTTTTTTTTTTTTTTTAATATGGATGTCCTTGATAGAGCAATCGCAAAAACCCTCTCCCTGGAGTAAATGTCTTGGGCTTTTCTTAAATGGTTTTTGTTTGTTGTTTCTTGGACCCACATTTCAGATCTAAAGTGTGAAGGGCACAGGTGGGCTTTGTTAAATTAGGACCCTTGTGCCTTTGCAAGGGTTTGGACATGGCAGTGGAGGAGACTGGGGCAGAACCCCCTTTGGAAAGTTGGGGATGGGCATATATGGATGTGTATGAATGGGAGCAAATGAAAGAAGAAAACACACCTCTGTGCAAAACCAAGTGACTGTAAAAATGATGCTGTTTTCTGTTAACATCTGAGGGTGTTCTGCTTTTTCATATAAAACTTGCACTGGCTCTCATCTGCAGTTTGTACTTTGTTTTGTTTAGGAATAGGGAAGTTTTCTTATTTGTTTGCCTTCTTCCCTTTTAAGAAAGCCAAGCTACATAAAGTTGAAATAAATTAAATAGAATACCAGAAAGCTGTTGTCTTTCTCCTCCACACTGCTCACAGGGCCTTTCTTTGCCTGATGCATCGCATGCAGATTTGTCCCTGTTCATCCTTTGGCCATGGCCAACAGGCAGTAACAGGAGCTGAGCTTTTCATTGTTACTGGCCCTGGTTATGTGAGCAGTGAGGAGCTGATGTCACTCCTCCTTTGCCTGGCTATATTCCTGCTATACACATGGTTCCTTGTGAATCTGTTGGGAAGTGCAGGGAGGTACAGGCTCTGTGTGTTACCAGAACTCCTCCACTCATGCAGCTGTGGAGAGAGGTCCTGCACCTTCTCCCAAGGTGAAAAGTGATGCCAAAGGGAGTGTGACAGCAGAGCTTGGTGTTTGGGCATCGCAGAGAGGCAAATAATAATAAAAAATAAATTAAAAAAATCTCCCACACTACATTCAATTAAAATTGAGAGAGGCTCTTTGCTGTCTCTAACATCCTGCATCCAGCTGACTGTTGTTTTCCCTTTGGACTCCCCAAAGGGAGGCAGCACCACTGGGCTTCTTCCCCTTCTGTTTTCTTCTACCCCCTGCCATGAGTTTCAGACTTACACATGCTGAGGGGCTTGCCAGTGCTGAGGAGCACCAGGAAACTCAATGGGGGCAGGAGGCAGTGAGTGCAGGGGGCTGCAGGGGAGGGGAAAGAGGACTGACATGATGAGGGGTGGGATGTAGACTGAAGAACATGGGAAAAGTATCAAAATTACTGTCCTGTTCAGTGCCTCTTGGGTGAGCTGGAGGTGGCTCAGGTGATGCCATGGGGGGAATGTTGAGTAGCAGGGTAGGACACAGGGGTGCTCCAAGCCAGGTGCTGCCCAAAGAGGGCTGGAGGTGACAAAGGTGCCCAGAGCCTAGCAGTGCCTGGGGCCACCCTCCCGTTCAGGGGCTGGATGGGAACAAACACGAGCTGTGTGTGACAGCGTGTGACACCTTCCACTAGACCAGGCTGCTCCAGGCCCCAGCCAACCTGGCCTTGAACACTCCCACAGCTGGGGTATCCACAACTTCTCTGCCCAACCTGTTCCAGTGCCTCATCATCCTCACAGCGAAGAATTTCTTCCTAGTATTTTCAGTATAAAACCCTGTACAATATAAACAATGATATTTAATATAAAGAACATCCTTAGTGTAAAACTGTATGTTGCATAGCTGTAGCTACTTATACACGTGCATACAGCTCCACCTGTCCTTAGGGATGTGATTTATCAGCCCGTAGTTGAAGGCAGCGATAACTTTTTGCACGGAAAGCTCCATTTCAGGGCCTCTGCGGCTGCAAGCGGCAGCAGCGCGGCCCGGCCGGCCGGGCCCTGAGGGTAACGCGGGCGGGGCGTGGCGCCGCCTGGTGGCGGCTGCGGCGCCGCGCGGCTCCGGCCCCCGGTGCTGCCTGAGGGGGTCGGGCCCGGCCGTGTGGGGTGTCCGGGGGGACGGGGTGTCCATCGGGGACGGGGTGTCCGTCAGGGACAGGGTGGCTGTGCCAGCTCCATGTGCTGCAAGATGGCTGCGGGATGCATTGTTAGCGCAGCCCTGGCAGCCCACGGTCCTCAGTGCAAGGGCAAAGGGGATGATTTCGCCTCCCGCCCCGCTCTGGGCGCACGGGGGGGGGGGGGGGGGCTGGCAGGTGAATGGAAGGGAAGAAGGGCACAGGAGGAAGGAATTCGTGGGGAGTGGGAGAATGAAGGGGGATGGCTGCCTGGGCGGTGGGGCAGGGCCAGATCCAGCACCGGGGAGGGCAGCGGGATGAGCCACCAAGAGCTACCGCAGAGTGTTTGAGAACACGGCCTGGCTGGGCTGAGCAGCTCCAGGGATGTTCCTGCCACTGGGACACTGGGGCAAATCTTCCAGCGGCCCCAAGAGTTCTGAGACTCAAAGAGCACGCCTGCTCCCAAGCTGTGGAGCTCAGTTTGAGACAGCATTTAGGGGCTTAATGTCACTGGTTGCTAGGTACTTTGCCCTGGTAAACCGGTTGAATATGTGTGCTGTGCCCCACTGCCACATCCATGCAAAGAAAATTCTAAAAAAAACCCCAAAAGATAAAAAATTGTAGCTCTGCTTGCAGGAAGCTGTAAAGTTAAGCTTGCAACTTTTACTAGTCACCTAGCAGATTGTTCTAGTATCAAAAGCTCCCCTGAAGCATTGCCACCATTTTACCCCATGCCCTGTACTTCCCTGAGCACCCTTGTGGAGCTAGCTGAGCCCCCCAAGAGACCCAACACAGGCGGCCATGGGATGCTCGGGGCTGGAGCAGCTCACTGGCAGGCCCTGGCACACAGATGCTCCATGAGGGTCAGGCACGAGCTAACTGAATGCATAACTTTATTAAATAAATGCTTTGTCATGAGAAAAGACAAAGATCAAAGAGTAACATAAATTATAAGTTGAATAAATAGTATACAGCAATCTTCACTTTTTAATAAAATGTGAGATTTTTTTTTAAGTACAAAATGCTAAACAGAGCATTAAGCTCTTCTTCCATTGTCAGTTTTTCACAAACTGCTTTTTTTTTTTCCCACCAGTAAGATTATGAGTATTTCTTGTTTACTGGAAAAAAAAAACAAAACAACAAAACCAAAACAAAACAACAGAGCTACCGTATGTATGTAAAGCTATAAAAAGCTACCGTAAAATGTGTAGTGAGTATTGCTTAAAGATAAAAACCAGGCAGGAAACTCGGAATCTGGTGTGTTTTAACAACTGTGTTACAACGGTGGGTAACGTGCGTGGTGACGTCTGTCCCGGTGGCAGTGGCGGTGGCTGGTGGGGCTGGGGAGGGGGCCACAGCAGGCAGGGATCCTAGCCAGGGCCAGGACAGCGGTCTGGAAGCGAGGTGAACTGACAGTTCTTTAAATATACAATGCTCCATTTGGGGGGAAAAAAATCAACAATGACAACAAAACAAAACAAAACAAAAAAAAGAAAACTAAACCAACAGCAAAGAATTTTCATGGGGAAGGCGGAGAAAAGGGGAAGGGGGGAGAGAGCGGAGAAATAGTGCAAAATGCTCTTGTACTAGTGGTTTTCAAAGTCCACTGCAGTACAGACAAGGGGTAGCCCAGCCACTGAGCGCCGTTCCCTGGGCAGATGTGGTGGAAGGGCTGTCCTGAGCCATCCTTGTCCTCTCCTTCCTTCCCAGCTCGCATCCTAGATACCAACGTGGGCTCAGCACAAATACCGTAGCCAGAGACCCCGGAGCCTCAAGGCCCCCCGATGCACAAATTGCCAGCATCTCCTGGTGTGCCTCAACCCTCCCCAGCTTCCAAATCTGCCCCTTCTGGTTCTCTCATCCTAAATGCAGAGGGTGCTGCTGGGTGCTGAGAATGGGAGCACCTCATCATTGCCACCCCGGAGGGTGACCAAGCCCTCCTGAAGTCACTCTCAATCCCAGCCCAACCCAGGCTCCAACCCCGGTCCTAAATATTAGTGCAGCCTGTAAACAGCCTCGTCCTGCTGGAGATCCTTAAGGGAGTGGGCAGCTGGGGGGGTCACCTGGTGCCCCGTCCGGGGAGCCGAGGTGATCTGGGGGGTGAGGGTGGTGCACCCCAAATGTCCATCATCCTTTCCCCCAGGTTTGTGGGGACAGGACAGGCAATGCCATCCCAGCATGGCATGTGCAGGGGTGAGGGAGGCTGTGTGGGATGGATTTTGGTACTCTGGGCTCCCAGGGCCACGTAGACTTGCTTGGTAGGGAGAGGACGCAGCATCGCCCCGTGTCCCTTCCCAGTGTCTATGGTGGCCTCTTTGTGACACCACTGTGGGGCCCTGTGAGCTGACCCTCACCCTGCAAAAAGCATCCTGGCCAAAATGCAAGGTCCATGGGGGTCTGATGCCCTTCCCATCCCACCCCAGGGGCACGTCTCCTTTCTCTGCAGCCGAAGGCTTTCAAGTTTTGGGAAATTAAACAAAAAAACCAAAGAAATAAAAAAAAAAGCAAGAAAGAGGAAGAGAGAAGGAAGGAAGGGTCCTGGGAAAGGTGGTACTGGCCTATGACAGTCAGGAGGGTTTGCACAGGGATCAGCAAGCGGACAGTGTCAACAATGGTGTCCAGTGGCCCTTGGGGTTAGCACAAGCTCCTCCTGCTGTCTTCACCCCATTCTTCACTCCACTTGCACCCCAGCATTAATCCACCACTCTGGTTAAACCAACCCTGCTCCATCAGCCCTGCAGAGCCTGGAGGGGTCCCTCTCTCAGCCCCCACCATGCTCCCTTCCAACAACATGGAATTACCCCATTCCAACAGGCTTTTTTGGGGGCACATCTACACTGGTAGCACACTTCCTTCTTTCCAACATGGGAAGGTGCTTTGTCCTCAGGACAAAATGTGTTCTGCTGCATCTCCGTGGAAGTCCATAGGCAAAACTCGCTCCCACTGTCATTTGGAGGGAAATAACCACAGGTGTCCAGTCCTGCCCTCCATCAGGGTAACGTCCTGGTGGGGAGCCCACGGGATGCTTAGGGGAGTAATGTCATCTCACAAGAGGCTATGAGGGCTCCCAACCTGTGATGGCAAGAAGCCTTCACCAGAACCCCCTCGTCCCATCCCCACTGGTGGGGCTCCAGTGGTGCTGTGGACCTCCATTTTTCTCTGCCCAGGTCCAGGAAGCTGAAAGGGATATGGGGGTTCAGGAACCTTCCACCTGAGATCTGCTGTGTCCTTTGGCCAGTGCTGGCTGCCACCTCCAGCCGTGGCAGTAGGATGTGGTTCCCAGCGGGTGTGTTTCCCCACCACAGCACCCAGACCCCACAGCTCCCTTTCCTTTCTTTCCTTCCATTCACTGCAGGATCTCCTCCCAGCACCAACATCGTGGAGACCCTTGTCAGGGATAAGCAAGAGGCGAGAGTCCCAAAATCAAATGCAAATGTTAAAAACAAGAAATGAGTTAGGAAGGCAGCCGAGGGCTGTCCCAGCATGCCCAAGGCAGTGGGTCTCCATGGTGCAGTGGCTGCTGTCACTCAACAAGGAGCTGGGCTCCAGGTTAAAGGCAAGGGCCCATCACAGGATCTTACTGCAGGGTCATGGGAACCAGCCGTGGCAACGTGAGCAGTATCCTCAATGCAAAAGGATGGTGTTTTCCTACCCACGGGGAAAGCTATAAACCGGCCTTAACAAAAAACCAAGATGAAACAAACTGGAGGTTTGGGGGTTTTCCCCCCCTGGAGCAAACCACATTTTCAGCTGTGTAAAAAAACAAAAATAAAAAAAAATCTCCATAGTTGGTCATCTTTGTGGTGGCAAAGGGTGGTGAAGAGTTTTGGCCCTGATTCCCCTGTCTCCATGTAGGGATACTTCAGTCTGAACAGTGATGCAGTCCTCAGTGTTGATGAGGCCCTGATTCCACAGGCACCGATGCTCCTCCATAACTCTGCTTCTGTGCTTAATCCAGCAGGTCATTATTTGTTTTTGGGAGGGGCAGCATATCCCCCAATTGCATATTACATTGAAACCTCCAGAATTCAAGGTGAAGCGTTGCAAGGAGGGAAAGCCACATCAATGCACACACAAATGCATGCAGGTGACGAACACTTTCACACCTGGATGGACAAAGGCCAGTCCTTCTTGTCCAAGAAAATTTCTGACCTTCCAATCAAGATGAACTGGACAGGGGAGACTGTATTTCCTTCTGTGATAATTTTTTTTGAAGTCCACAGATACTTTCTGGGGGTATTTGTGCTGTCGCAGGATCTGTGTTTCCCTCCCCAGCTTATCTCCAGACACAAAGTGAACAGTCCCATGTCTCCTCCCTTGCTGAAATCTGCCTGGATTGGGGGCAGTCATTTGAGATGGAAATCAACTCAAGTGAGTCCCAGCAACATGGGGAGGACACTCTGGAGGACTGCAAGGGGAACACTGGTGGCCACAAGATTTTCTCTCAAGACCCTTCAAAAATCAACTAGCTAACATGAAAAAAATATAAAAATAAAAATGAACCTGCCCAAAACCCGTACTGGAGAATCAGCAACTTGGAGAGCTTCCTACATCAGGGTGACCTCTGCTTGTGGCAGAGGGGTGCAGGCAGCGTTGGGGAGAGGTGCAGGATGGCAGAGTGGCCATGGCTGGTTTGTCTCTGGCTCTATCCTTTCCTTGCTGAGTCCTTGTTGTCAAAAGGCTGTTGTAGATTCCGAGTCCTCAGTTTCTTCAGGGTTTATTTTTCTCTCTTCTCTCTTTTCCTTTTCTCTTCTTTCTTTTCTCTTTTTTTCTCTTTTCTTCTCTTTTTTAATTTTCCTTTTTCTTTTCTCTTTTTTCTTTCTTTTCTCTCTTTTTACTTTTCCTTTCCTTACTTCTCTCCTTTCTTTCTTTCCTTCTCTCCCTTTCTGTTTTTTTCATTTTTCTTCCTTTCTCTTTTTTCTTTTCCTTTCTTTTTTCGTCTTACATGAGATGAAAGGAATCGGAGTCCCGGGGCGTGGGGAGGTGCGGAGGGGAGGGTGGAAGGGAGTCTGGATAGATAGTGATGGGGCGGAGGGAGGGGATGTGGCTTCACTCCACATTGCTGCTGTCGAACGCGTGGCACTGCAGGTCTCCGCTCAGGAAGTCAGTCCCCGGCAGCTTCATGCCATACTTGTCCACACACCAACACAACCCACGCTTCCGGCCCCGGGAGGGCTTGCACTGGGGAGACACCCAAGGGCAGAGATCAGAAATGAGCCACCAGACGCTGTGTAGCTCCCTCCCTCGGGACCAGGCCTCGGCCCTTTCACACCAGCAATGCAATCCCCATCTCCTGCTCTCTGCTTTCAGCACTGCCCCAGCCGAGGGCTCTCTGACTTTTCCCCCTCCCTGACCAGCTCCTTCAGGATGCTTGCTTCAAGCCAGATGGCACTTGGAACCATCAGCAAGGCCACCCACCACCAAATGTGTCTGGAGATGCTTGCAGCAACACCCAGACTAACCCAGCAAAGGAAAAACCTCCATCCTTCCCACCCAGGGCAGTGGCAGAGAAAAGCCTTCCTGGGTGGGGAACATCTTACCTGCTTCCTCTTGTAGAAGCCCTTGCGGTCACAGTTGGGGAGGTGGACAGCGCGGGGGACCATCCGCTGGCTACTCTTCAGCTCCTGCAGGGACGCCTCCATGTGCCTGCGGCACGGGCCCTGCGTGCAGGGAGATAAATGTGAGAAGGGGAGCACCTCACACAACAAAAGCCCCCAGGTGCCCCCACAACTAGGACCCATTTCCTAGGGGTAAAAGCCCTCCACAGTCACCTTCCCATGGGAGCCTCACGGAGGGAAGGTGAAGGCACCCACCAGCTCAAACTCCTGCCGGAGCTCGGGGATAACCACACGAGGGTGAGCCGTGTTCTCAGCCATGCCCACAAACTTTGCCAGGGTCAGCTTCTTCCGGCGGTCCTTCTTCAGGGCTTCAGCCTTGAGCTCAGAGAGGCGCCCGTGCTTGGGCCGGTAGGCCTTGGGCGGGTAGGTCTCCTCTGTCATCTCCGATGTGGTCGGCTCCTCGTGCTCCCGGGACTCCCGTTCTGCAAGGGATGGGGTACCAAACTGTCATGTCTCTGTGAGATAAATTGGGCTTGCTTTTGTACAGAGACCCTCCTGCCCAACCCCAGAAAAAGCTTTGGACCAGGCAGGATGAGAACAAATAACTGAAGGAATCCCTTTCTCAGCTGCTGCCTACAGCCCTGCCTTTATCCCACTGTGTGGGACTTCACAAGGTTTTGGTGTGACCTCTGAGCTCGGGACAGGAAGCTGTCTAGGAGGAGTCAGAGGTCTAGGATGCATTTCTACATACAAGGGCCATCATTGTTTTTTTGTGGAAAAAGACCAGTATGAGGGTCATCCTACCTCCAGGGCCAGGTGACACATAAATGAGACAGAGAAGCCTCTGTTTATCCATGCTGAGAGGATTAAGTGACGAGTTCATACTTCACCCTGCCTTAAGAAGGCAAGAGCACAAGCCAGGAATGCTTGAAGATGAGACAATTCCAAGGCCAAGGTCAATCACACAGCACAGCCACCACGTGGCTGGGCAGACATTTCAGCAGTGATACCAAAGATGCGGCTGACAAGTGCTGGATCTCCAGGGTCCTCAGCTTGCAGCCCCCACTCATGGGATCAAACCAGCTCCCATCTGCTGACACACACCCAGCAGCCAGCAAAGCCAAGGGTAACACTGCCAAGTAATGCTGCCTGACTGCCATTGATGGTACTGATAGCAAAAGGGGAACATGTTTAGGTTCTGTCCATGGCACCCACCTTCCTGTAGACCCCCCAGCACAACCTCTGCTGGCAAGATGCAGTCAGGAGCCCTGAGCAGTTATATATAGGAGCAAGCTGGCGACAGTCTAAACTTAGATGACTTGTGACATTTAGTACAACCACCAGAGTGAAAAAGGGTTATTTCTTGACTAAATTTGAATACAGTTTAAAGGTCCTGAGGTTCCTGGTCTCCTGACCCCTGGGTCCCCAGCTGTCTGGTGTTGTTGATGACAAGTCCGTGCTGGGACCAGCAAGTGACCATGAGGAAACTCACTGCAGCAGAAGGAAAGCATCAGAGTAGCTGAAATCTGTCCCTGAACAGCATCTCTTGCAATTTCTATGCCAGTGAACCCAGATCACCCCCTCCCACAGGAGGGAAAAAGGCTCAGGATTAAAATAAAAGCAGATATACGCCCCCAACAAGGCAAGCAGGATTCTTTCTGCAGACTGACTGCTCCCTGTGGAGCCCAGATGCAGCACCAGGAGGGACAAAGGTGAAGAGGATGCCACTGCTGCCCAGGGATGCCTGAGGATGCCCAGTGGGGGGGACAGACGAGATGCTTAGTGGCAGATGGCAGTGCCAGACTGTCACACACACCTCAGCTGGGGGGTTTGGAGGTGACCGAGTGTCACTGGGTGCCCAAGCCAACCACAGGTAGAAGTCTCCTATTCCTCCTTGCCAAGGGGACCTTGCACTCTCCCAGCAAAAATCTGAAAGTTTCTCATGGCCACTTATTTATTAAAGTGGCCCTTTGTTTTTTTTGTTTCCACAAGAACAGCACTGGATGAGCATCCCCAACTTTACACCCTCCTAACTGCCAAGAGCAACATAAAAAATCCCCTGTACCATCCCCAGGACTCATGTGGCTCCCCAGGATGGGATAATTTTGCCATTTTACCCCATGATGCTTATATGCTTGGGGTTTTATTCCTTGTTGCAGGACTCAACTGCCTGCACAGATCAGGGCTCCTCTACTCTAAGAGGATGACAGACAGGGGATAGAGAAGAAACTGAGTAAACTGGAAATTACTCCCCAGAGAGTGAAACAATACAAGGTGCAGCTGAAGTACGTCCTTTGCCTCAAAAGATATTCTGGCAACTCAAGGTCTGAAAGAAGAACAGAGGCATCTGCAGTGACTAAGCCCTTCTCATAGCAGTGAAACACGCAGTGTTCTGTCCCAGGAATCCCCTCTGGCACCCACATCCAGGGCTGGAGAAGGTGCTGCCAGAGTACCTCCCTGGGCTGCCCTACAGTAATAAAGGGAAGTTTCACATTGGTGCTGGCAAACTCCCAGTAACACAGGAGAGGCACAACTCATTACCTCCGCAATAACAAATAACTGAGGCACAGCTTCTTAGGGCAATCCTAACAAATAAAGGATACAAGACAGTGAGGATTCAGTCTGAAAAACAGTACAGGGTGTCCAGTCCCCAGAACTCAGCATGCAATGGGTATCTGCAGCAGCTCAGACTGCTCACATGGTCAGCAGCTTTACCCTCTTGCAAGCACCTTATCCCTCCTCTCCCTGCAAGCTGCCGGCAAGCCAGAGTGAGCTGGGGACTAGTGTGGAGCCCTTTCAGCAAGGATAGATGGGATTCACAGGAGCCCTGTGCTCCTGGAGATAACTGATGTGCACTAAAAGCTGCCCAGATCCCAACCCAAGTCTGGTGCCTTCTGCAGGGCTGGAAAAGCACCTGGAACTGACCCCCTTCACTCTCCCTGGCATGCATGTGCTCCCCCTCAAGTAGGAACATATGCTTGGGATGTCATACAAAAAGGATTAGAAGTGATGGGACTCCTTCATCTGTGACTCAGCAGTGGTGTCTAGTTTGGGTTTTTATATCCCAGTGATAACTCCATGGATGCCTTGAAGGGATCCCTTTCCTCCATCCTCTTATGTTTTTTATAGCCTAATTTCCTTCAACAAGAAGGCTGATGCAACCCCTACTTCTAATAAGCCAATTTTGGCAAACTGAAGGGCAGAGGACTCTCACAGAAACTCCTGACAAGCTCTGGGCAGCTGGTAAAGGGCCCTCCCAGTGCCAAGAGGAGAGGGAAAGGCAGAGCTCGGGCATGCAGCACCCATGCAGCTCCTCTCCTTCTTCCTGGCTGGACCATCCACCTTAACCTGCAGCTGGCCACTGCTGCCAGACCAGACACTCACATCAGCATCCCCAGAGCTCCTGCACCCACCTGCCCATCCTCACCCACCAGCTCATTCATTACCCTCTGTCTGCCCCCAGGCTGGCTCATGGCAGGCAGCATTTGGCACCGCTGTGCCTCCATGCCTGAGGAGATGCTGGCAGGAGCAACGCCCAGTTTCACCAAATGAGCCCAACTTGTGTGGAAGACTCAGGAAGGAGTTCAGGCTGGAGTTCCCTCCTCCCTCACCGTCAGGTTCTGGCCTGCCACACAGCCCCTTCCCGCCTACTCCCATCTGCCTGCCAGCCTGGTGGCACCTGCAGAGGCACAGCTGCCTGTCTGGGGACACAAGGCATGGGCAAAGCATGCTGCACCCCTGTGGGCTTAGGGCATGGCCAGGCAGGCCCTACTCACGGTGTCCCCAGATAAGGGACAGTGGGAAACAGAAGGTGGGTGGCTTGCATAGCTCCATTCCTTCTCCCCACAACACAGGAGGGGACCACCTCTCACTAGAGGTCCCAAGCTTACTGACACAGAAAAATGACACAAAAGAATGACATTGCTAGCCAAGCTGAGGATGCTTGGCTAGCTTGGAGGTGATACATGGACTGAAGCCACCTCAAAGGGATGTTGACCCTACAGCCAAGGCAGGAGACTGAACTCAGCTCAAAGCCACTTCATGGCTTCATGTATGGTCTGATCCACTCTTGCCCAGGGAAAGAGGGGCAAGCATCTGGAAAGGCTCTTGACCCAAGCCAGGCCAAAATGACTGTGCTGTTGATGAGCCCTGGGACGTAGAAAATACCCACAGCAGAGCATGGGATGTCCTATGCCCTGGGCTGAGGCACAGTGTCTTCTCCCCATGCCAGGCTAGCCAGTGGAAACTCCCTAACAGGAATCATTTCCAACCATTCCCTGCAGAAGGGAAGGGGAGTAGCAAAATACCAGGCACTGTTTCTGGGAAGCCACAAATTGCTCCTGTCTGGCTGCCTGCTGTCCTTAAGAGATACCACCCAGAGCAGACTGCACATCATTCTGCCCCGCATCAAAACCCAGCCTGGTGCTCCTGGCTTCAGATGCTTTGGACCCATGTGAACCATAAGGTGGTGGGTGCACTCACATGGGGGAGCAGAGTATGTGGGAACACTGCATCCCTGCCTGCTGACATTACAGAGTGGAACACAAAACTTTTTCCAAATGGCTGGGAGGCTCAAATTTTTGTAACACATTTTCATTGGTTTCTGGCAGAAAGGATCTATTGACTGCTGCTCTTAATGAACCGTGCTCGTTACAGCCACAGCCCACTGCTAGAGGACTTGCTGTCCTGTTCAACACCATCCCCAAAAGCCACATGCACTGAAGCAGTACATGCACAACCACAGCACAACCCTGCTAAACAGCCCTCTTGATTATTATCATGATCATTATTATTTACAGCATAGGCACTAACATAATACACCACTTAAGCAGGAAGGTGTTGAAGAAAGACTTAATGGGGATCTCAGTTAAACCTCTAGCACAGGAACAACAAAAATGTCACTTGTGGAGACTCTGAGAATTTGTCCAGTCCTTCCTCTGCCCCAAACTCAGCCATCCCTGTTCAGAGATGCTCATTGCATATGGGGCTTATACAGGAATTCCATTCTTAGGTACCTGGCTGGAAAAACCCCTATTTTCCCCAGCTGCCCTCCCCATTTGTTGCCCACTCCGGAGGAGGGGACATGCTTCACCTCCATCAAAACTTCCTGGTACTGGCAGGCAAATTCGTCCCTGACCTGGACTTGCACCTGTGGCCATGATGGGAAAATAAAAATTCCTCCTTCCTGGTCAGCACACAGAGACAGCCACTGTGTTTGCATTCTCAAGATGCAGGCAGGGAAGGGATAATGCAGGCAGGGAAGAGATGCAAAGAGAGGAGAGTCATCTCATCTTGCACCCTTTGGCAGCTGGAGAGTACAACTGAGCAAAAGCATTCCTGAGCTCCCCAGAGGCCACCAGACTCAGCCCAGGCAGAAGCCCAGGAGCTCTCATCCGCCTAATGAAGAACAGCTCGCTGACATTCCCGTCGCAGGCACAGCCCCCAGTGTGGTGGTGACGGCCCCCAGCCCTGCCGGGGTGGT